GCTGATTTTTCAGCATACAATGTACACTGTTGAGTTTTCAGAGTACCCAGTGAGAAATGAATTTTCTTCAATGTCGTTTAGACGTCGAAATAGTCGAATAACGCCATTTTGTCCCCCCAAAATCCACATCTTGTCGATATTTCGACGTCGATTCCAAGTTAAATCCTAGTTTCTATTTCTCACTGGGATATTATTTGAACACTGATCTCTTCATGACTCACGAGGTCACTTTTTCCACATTTAAGATCATTTGTGATGTCAAAAACATTATGACAGCATGAGTAGGTAGGTGGATGGTAGGAGGGGCTGCCTTCATACGTGGGTTTTGTGGATGTACTAGCCTATCTTTTAGGTTGCTCACTAAAGATAACAGAGTGTGACTCCTACCTCCACCCCCTTTATACCATGCGTGCGTTACGATGACGTATGTGACCCCCGCGTCAATTTCAAGAATAAAGCTGACGTTTTCCTAGGGATAACTGTCTGTGGATATTGTGTATATGATAAATTTACTACTTTACGCACTTGCGCAAATACAGCCGCCAAACCTGGACCTAGTAGAGACCTTAGATGTAACTGCCTTGTCTGCCCAATTTCTATAGCTATTTTTTTCCCATTTACGAGGGTGAAACTTTTGTTATCCATATGTCACCGTTATAGAGACAAATGTGTATTCTTGCAATTCATATCTTTCCCTAGACGCGTAAAATTTAAGCTACGGCATGTATTAAAAATAAAATCTTAGCGAAGTTTTTTGATAGCTCGAGCTGCCAAACCGTTCTTTATAGTAGTCTAGGACTTGCCTCCATACAGTCTGAGCCCCTGTAATAGGCAACGTCGTATTCTTAGTTCACTAGGTATAGTTAAAAATTTTGGTGTGTAAAGTAGACTCTCTTAATATATGTAAGAAATTGGTCCAGGTATTGGCATCTTTCTATAAGTTAATCGACGTCGTGTTACAGCCTACCCATTGAAAAATTGCAGTTGGATTGACATCAAAACGTCTTCGGAACGATTCCGTTATGGTGGAATCGACGTCGACACGATTTCGATTCGATAAGAATATCTCATTTGGTTGGCACTATATCTGATATAGAGAGCACAAGATGTTACAAAAGGTGTTAACCGACACTCAAGGAAAACGTGCTACTCACCAAATCGTTACGGATATCACAATAAGTTCATCGTAACGACGTTTTTAACAATCACCAGTTGACCTGAAAATGGTCACTTTTCAGGTCACAGTGACGGCATCGTGAGAAAAACGTTTTCTTTGGGCGAGATTATTGTAATCACAAAATTCTCCTTATAACATTATTATTTCTTGTTCCTCAGTAACGCATTGCAGGTAAATGACACATATCCTATTTGTTCTATGCATTGTTTTGTGTGACAATTTTAACCCGATGCATGCTCATTATTCAAAATTTGGCTTGTTCCATAAATAGCAAGAGTGTAAGAGAAATAAAGTATATTTTTGTGGTCGATAACGCGTCTTTACATTGTTGGGTTCAGTTGGTTTTCTTTTCTCTGGGAGATAGCCTCTCATACATTGCTTTGCAATCGATGAAGTCCCTCTACATTACATCCAGTTTGTTGTGCTTTCTGTTTACAGGAGAGCACCCAGCGCTCTGTATTCGAGGTTTTAATTCATTCTTCGATGCTTTTTATTCATTAAGAAAAAAAAAATGTTTGTAATGATGCTGCAGAACAAGGTTTCGGGTGTCGGGCACTTGCACTTGGAGACCAAGAGTTTCTTGTGAGCGTGGCACTGTCACGCCCTGGTATGTTACAGCCCCATCTTGGCAGTAGCAGAGTATCGTTTCGAGGAATACTGGGACGGATCACTGGTGCCCGTATGCGTAACGCCGGCTGACACTTTCTGGAAGGCCACCTTCTTCATTGGCACTATCTCCATATTCTTCGGCATCCCCCTTGTCCTCTTGGTGGCGTTGTATAGCGTGATTGCTCGTCATTTGATGGTGTACCCCGGAATCATGGCATCGAACCAGCAAAGCAACCAACAGCCTGTGACGCCCAACGCCATCAAGTACCGGAAACAGGTATCTGTGCAGCGTGGATTGTAAATTGTAAATCTTAAATGCGAAACTAGATAATGCGTCATGCATCTTTACAACAAGTAGTTAGCTTCCTTTTTGGCAAACACTATTCTAAACGGCCATGGAGTAGAAGGGGATGGAGAGGCAACGAAGGGCGGGCCAGGGCCTGCACGGCCAAATGTGCGGCTCATTTTCTCCTAAACGATTCCACCTATTTAAAATCCGAAAGCAGCATCTGATAGGGGAAGGTTGATTGTATGGCCGCGTAAAGTTTCAGCTCGA